TCCCAGGCGGCTGTCGGTGCAATCTGGCCCTCCGGAGTCACGCGGGCGAGCAGGCAGCGTCCTGCAAGGCCAAGCCACTGGGCCTGCCCAGGCGCTGGAGGTGGCACTCAAAATGGTGTGAATCCAAACTGAATGGTCCCTCCAGCTAGCTCGCAGCTTGCCAAGCCTGAGCAGGCTGTGAATGCAGGACTTTCCCTGAAACAGCAAGCACGGCAATGCAGAGCCGCCCTGACCGGCGCAGTTTCCCCAGCACAGAGCCCCACGTCCCCCCAGAGGGCTGGATCGAGATGTTTAAATGCAGATAGAGCTTGCCAGAGGTTGCTGCTTAGGGATGAGTCTCAACGTCAGCATACTAGTCTTTTGGTCCCTGGTACCCAGGACCATACAAAAGCATGCGTCTGGATTTGTCCCCCCCGCCCCCATGTGTCCTCCGCTTGCTGTGATGGCAGTCTTGCTGTTCGGTGTGCTCCAGCCTTGCTATGGGCCACTGGACCTGGGATGTACCTGGTGTGCCATGGTGGGACTGTATTTCTGCGTCATTGTGAGCAAAGTACAGTTGTGTGGGTCCCTGCAACGTGCCTGGCCCTCGAATGCATGATTTCCTGCCCAGCACAAACAGGGTCTCAAAAAAAAAATGGGCTTGCCAGAGACTTCCTCAGCATCCCTGGTTCAAAGCCCAGTGAGACCTGCTGGGCTGCCAGAGCAGCTCCCCACCCACAGCTCAGCTCAGTGGCAAGTGCTGTCCCTGGCAAGGCCTTTTATAGCTGTCACTTAGGAGGTCCTGGGTTGTTTACCCTATTTCTTCCCCTAGGCTCTTTAACAGGCAGGATGACACCCTTAGGAGAAGAGCTCCTGAGGTGCTGTTTCCCCACTGTCCTCTGACTTACAGCTAAGAGAAACCTCCCCAGTGTTGGCCTGTGCCGTGAGGATTCCCAGTTATTTCTGTCTGCCCCAAAAATGTTTCGGGCTGAAGAGCAGTCCAACGGCCAGCTGCAGCTGATGCTGCCTCATCCTCTAGTGCTCGCTCCCTCTGTGGCTCCTCTCTCTCTCTGCCGACAGGCAGGTTCATCTTCTCCAAGCTCACTCCGCGGGCTGGCCCTCTCGGCCCTCCTTCTGCTTGGTATGACCAGATCATCTTCCTTGCACGTTTTCTCTGCTCTTTCTTGCCCCACGCAGTTTTCTCTTCAATCTCAATCTCTTTCTTTAAATGCTTAGAGGAATTAATGGTTGTATCCCCATCACACCCAGAGGTCCCACCTGAGTCTGGCCTTCCCCTGTGCTTGCTGCTGTGGGGCAGTGGCTTGCAGGGAAGTGGGGAGGAGGGAAGAGGAAGGCTCTGTGCCAGACACAGCAATCCTGCCGGCTGCCCGGGTTTGTATGCGCTCTCATGGCAGATGCAGGCTCACAGGCTTGAAGCCTAATTTAGGTTGGGCAGGGGTCCACAGCAGGCCCAGCTTGAGTGCCTGGTAGCTGGCTCCCAAAACATGCCTGGAGCTTAGTGACTTGCAGCCACCTCCCAGAAAAGAGAGGGGAGCCAAGTTACGAGTAACGGCTGCTCTGCTGAATTCAGGGCCCTTCTCATCACCTTGAGGTGTCATCTGGAGATGGCTTATTACAGCATGGTCACTCCTTCCTGTTTCCTGAGAAAACGTTACATATATATCAGCAAGACAGGGGTGAAGAGGGCTGGGGTTAGGGAAAAAAAGACAAGTACCACCTCTGTCTCTTGTGTGGACTAATTGCTAGGTCGAGATCATTTGTATTCAGAGCTACACTTGAAATCTTTATCAGCATGCCTGCCGATACTCTATCTGCAATGTGAATGAGACTCTCAGGCCTCTCAGGGAGCATATTTGGGCTGGATGATGTTTTCTACCCGGTGTTGCACCAAACTGTTGTCAAAGCTTTAAAAAAAAAGTCCCGCCAGGCTCCCTGGTAGGAAATAGAGCGCAGAGCAGCAGAAAGATCAGATCTTTGCTATGTGATCTGGGTGTGTGAATGCCCTGATGCAAAGGCCTCAACCCTGGCAACGAGGAGCTCTTGTCTGCTGGGGGTTGTGCGGACTGAGGACTGGGGCATCCTTCATCCCAAGTGGTCACTGCTGGTAATGGTCCTGGAAGGGCAGGGGAGCCGGGATTGGAAGAGCTATTACTCTTCCCTGCTGGAAATGCTTTGATAAGCTCTTGGCATTTAACATGTCACCTTCTAATCATGAGAGAGGAGGAGAAGGGGAAAAAAAAAATCCCATGAGGTAGCATGCCAGTGCATGGCAACCTTCTCCCAGCACTGGCCGCAGCGAGGGCGCGGGGGATCGACGCAGCGCCTTGTGCTAGCCCTGCAGGGCAGGAGCGAGCCCCGCGGTGTGTGTGCAGTCTGCATTCGCGGCCCTGCAAGCTGCTCGCTTTCTAGAGCAGGTCAGGAGAGGTGAGCCTGTCCCAGCCTGGAGACCCACAAGGAATACTTAGGGTCCTGGAGAAGAGAAGAAGGTGACAGCCTCCTCTCCTCTGGCTGTACCGCATGTCAGACCCCAGGGTGACAGCTCCCCAGTGCCGCATAGGCACTGGAAGAGCTACTAATTGGAAAGCTGTTTCCCTGTTGGAGAAACCTCTACGCTACGATGGGCACCTAGGGTCCTGGGGTTATGCTGAGTGTCGGAGGCACCCTGTCCTAGTGGGTAACATGGTCCTTCCGAAGCTCTGCTGGAGAGCACCAGCCGCAACCCTGGAAACCAGGGTGCAGCAGGCGACCACGCGTGTGCATGGAGAAGAGAGGAAAGCTGTGGGATTTGGGGCCAACCAATGACCCTTTTAGTCATCAGTGAAGATGCAGAGAAATAAATAAATTGGGGTGCGCTGCTTCAAGAATACTCCACCAGAGACTAGCAAAGTAGCCCAAGTTTAGTATTGCTTGGAGGTCATCTCAGCACATCGTCATCCCACGAGAAAATGCTCCATGAGCAGCCTGACCTCTGCCTCCTGCAGCCCGGCTCCCTCCGCCCTTTCCGCTCATCCTTTCCCAGCCTGTTCTTGAATAGACACACGCGAGCGAAAGAAAGCGGAGCCACACCAGGAATGCAGAGCTTTGCTCTTTTCGTAGCACAGACGTTGCCCCTGGTGCAGGAAGGCTGCCGGTCCGTTGAAAAGCGCTTTATTGATTGTGCTGTGCAGCGCGTGTCCGTGGCTGGGCGAGCCGAGCACGGACCGGCTCCGAGGTGACGTGCGCAGTGCATTAGCGCTGGATTAGTAACCGCCAACAGCAGCCGTCCCTTGCATTTTCGCTCTGGCCCTGCTAATGGCTTATGCAAAGGCCCCCAAACTTATCAACGAAGGGCTGAACCGTGCGGCCTCCAGTCAGGCAGAACTGCAGGATTTTGACCCTGAACGAGTCCTTTCGCGCTAAGCTGAAGCTGTGCCTTGTCTCACGCACCGTGGGCTGGGCCGGCACCGGCGCTGCCCCGGCGCCGGGGCTTCCCCCGGCGAGGCTTTGCCCACCGCATCTGCAGCAAGTCGAAGGAGCCGCGATGAGTGACACGAGGTCCAAACGCAACGAGTGACTTGGACGTGATTGACCTCGCGAGGGGAGCCAGCCCCCCAGGCAGGCAGAACCGCAAAGCTGCAAGGTTTTGCAAACCTGCAGCCATCACGTAATCAATGATGTGATTAATTTTCAAGCTCCTCAATGAATTAAATCTCCCCGGCAGTGCCCACAGCAAATTACATCGGCCAAACTGAACGAAATACGTAAAACTGGCGCTCGGTGCGTTGGCGGAGGGGGTCCTGAAGCTCGCGTCCGCGGCTGCCCGGCTCACGGGTGCAATGTCCCATGCGAACAGGAACGCGAGCGCTGGCACACCAGCGACGGGGAGGTTTATAGCGACACTTGTGTTCGTGTGTGTTTGTGTGCGTGTGTATTCTCTTCTGTCTAATAATACGGCTGAGTTCACTATGCCGCCTCTCCCTTGGTGGGGGAAAACATGTGTGCCCACCCACATATTTCATTAAATTTGTAAGAATTCAGTATTTTTGAAAAATCTGCTGCTCTGTCAAATTTGGTTGGAATTGGCCAACACGTTCAAAAGTTATTAGTGTGGGAGTGATGGCATATAGATATATAAACAGCACAATCACATAAGTAAGGCCCATTTCCTGAGGAAAGTAGGCTAAAAACCACAGCGTGATGAAGACAAGCAAATTGGATCCTTAAAGTTGTTTTAGTCTGCACAAAGTACAGTGCTAGCTATGACACAGAGGAGTAAGCTCATTTAAGGAATAGTTTGTAGGTTCAGTGGATGATTCTCCCAAATTTTCTTCAGGGCAATTAAAATGAAAGAACATTTT